TTAGCTGGTTTGGCTCATGGACAGAGCATCAGCCTACGGACTAAAGGGTCCCAGGTTTGATTCTGGCCAAGGGCACATGCCCAGGTTGCAGGCTCAATCTCCAGTAGGGGGCGTGCAGGAGGCAGCCAATCAATGATTCTCTCTCATCATTGATGTTTCTGTCTCTCCCTCTCTCTTTCTCTCTGAAATCAATAAATTTTAAAAAAATATTTTAAAAAAGAAGTTTCTAAAGAACAAAGTTTCAGTAGATGACCTCTCTTTTCTAGGAACACTTCATCGATGTAATAAAGAACCAAGAATTCCTCCTGCTTCCAGCTAATGAAATCTCCAAACTTCTGTGCAGTGACGATATTAACGTGCCTGATGAAGAAACCATTTTCCATGCTCTGATGGACTGGGTGGGGCATGATGTGCAGGCTAGGCAACAAGAACTATCCAGGCTGCTTACTTACATCAGACTGCCATTACTTCCACCACAGGTATGAACATTTACCAGTAATATAATTATAGTTCAAACTACCACTTGCAATTAATCCATTCCTGATTTTTCCCTTTTATTTCATTCAGAGGAATTTGGGTAATTGTAATGTACAGGATTTGTTTGGCAGAAGGACATACCCAGTCTTCAATCAGCAATATTAATGATAAGAGAGAGGAAAGAAAGATTTTTGAAAACTACAGATAATCCCCATTATCTAATGAGCATCCTCATTAGTTTTAGTTTCCTCTCACCAAACAGAACTTATAACAAGCAGGAAAAGTGACTAGGCTAACTTTTTCTTTCCCTGCCTACCTTGTAAGCAAGGTGATAATAATCAGTACAAGAGCATACCAGAGGGGATTGTAGAAAGGAGTTAGATTCTACTAACATGGATAATTAGCTGCAAGGATCTAAAGAGTACTATATAGTAGTATCAGATGCACTAAAGCAATATTATACTAATGACATCTCCACATTCGTGCTAAAGGTTCATAGAAGAAATCATTCTAAAAACAAACACCCTTCGATAAGATTCAGAATTGACCCACCTCATACTGAATTTTAATATGTGAAATCTAATGAGGTTAGAGTGCAGTTCTCTCTACATAATTCTATCATTGGTGATAATCACAATTATTTCTGTGTAGCAAATTGACCGATAGTATATATCATTTACATATTATATATTCATGAATATGTTACACATATACACACTTCATTTACTCTATAGGCTGTGGCTAATGTCCTCAAATATCATCCACTTTGGAAGGAGGGACCTTATCTGTACTAAGTGAGGCAGTAGTTTCATAAACATTAAAATTAATTTATTTTCAAAAAATTACTAATTAAATGTTAATGTTGAACTTATGGTTTCTCTAGCTTGTTAACTTGTAGTTGTTAATTAAATCTCATGGAACTACATATTTATTCTTAGGAATCTGTCTGTATTTAATGAAAAAACACTGACTACCCTCCTGGGTATAGCGACATTATCCAAAGGGCAAGGCAATAGTAACATCAAAAAGAGAAATATTAAAATATATATGTCATATTAGACCCAAGGTTCAGAAACTATAGAAATTTTATGTATTCTTGTGAATGTATATACTTTTGTGTGTGTTATTCTCATGATATGGTCTATTTGATTCTCTAAAGCAGTGCTGCTCAAAATGTCCCTGGACCAGAAACATAGCCTTGCCCGGGAGCTTGTTAGAAACTCAGTCACTCACACCCCTACAACAGACCTACTGAAATAATTTCTGGGGGGGTGATGCCCAGAAATATGTTTTAACAAGTTCTCCAGATGGTTTTAAAACATGCAAAAATTTAAGATGCACTGGTATAAAGGATCAGAACCTTTAACTGTACAATGCTGTAAGTCTATATGATATTCTTTCAGCAAGATGCTTAGTTTGAACTTCCCTTACTTTATTGGAGTGGGGAAATTTCCAGCCCAAACACAAAACCAGCGGTGCCTTGGCCTCCCGCCCCTGAGTAGGCCTTATGCCTAAAATGTGGTCATTGGAAACATTTCCTGATGATGGTGGTGGTGGGCAATAGCATACAGAATATAAACTTCCAAAACAAGTTTAATAGTGTCCTTAAGCAAATACCCTAGAAATTAAATATATTTTTAAATGGTCATAAATCTCTGAAGAATATTTTTTGAAAGCAACAACTATATAGCCCATTTTTCAAACATATTTTCAGAAGTGTATGAATTGAGGAAATGCCTGGGGTTTCACTAGCTAAGTCAAAACAAGGATTTATCAGCGATGACAGGTGGAGCAAGAACAGAGCTAGGGTTAACCAGTACAGAACAGGAAACTTCAGTGAAGTTTTATGGAGTGAGGTTAGCACCTCCACTCCAACAATCTGCTTGTTATTCCTCCCTATGACACTGTGGACCCAAAACTCAAAGAAATTAATCTAAATAACCCTTGGCAAAATTCTGAAACAAAGCTTAACTTCTCAACTCATTTCAGGAAAATAATTTACCTAGCTCTTATCCCATTCAATAAATGTTTTATTGACTGCCAGGGAGTAATGTTTAGAAGTATTACTTACCTAATAGTGCTAATGTATTAGCTATTACTAACACAAGTTCCTTACTGATGTTATAAATATACACGTAAATAATTTTTTTAAAAGACCTACTTTCAGAATACTTTACAAAAGTGATTTAATGATAAAGATGCAACCTCCTATGGGTAATATTATTTTATTTTAACTGGACATATTTGTACCATCTCCCCTAAATCCACCAAAAACATGACTGCTTCTCTAGCTACATGCCATAGACCAGAGGTTCTCAACCTGTGGGTCGCGACCCTTTCACAGGGGTCGCCTTAGACCGTCCTGCATATCAGATATTTACATTATGATTCATAACAGTAGCAACATTACAGAAATGAAGTAACAATGAAAATAATTTTATGGTTGGGTCACAACATGAGGAACTGTATTTAAAGGGCCAAAAGGTTGAGAAAGAACCCACTGCCATAGGCTGAGAGATGCTTGCTTTGTGCATACAAAGCCATTCTCTTTGATTGCTTTTCAATAACACATTTTATGAATGCTTTTTCACTCCTTGAGATTATATGCATATATACTTAAAAGATGTCGAATAAATCTTCATAGATCATTAACTAATTCCATCAGGCTTTAAATCATTTTAAATAATAAACTATGTTACTAAATAAGTTAAAATGTTAAATAATAAGAGATCTACATTTGAATTAGCTTGAGTTTTCTCCAAAGTTATATAAACAGAAATATGCCCTTTCTAATGAGGGGCTCTTCACCTCATATACCATGTGTCATTACTTTTCAGTTACTGGCAGATCTGGAAAATAGTTCCATACTTACTGGTGATCTTGAATGTCAGAAACTTCTGATAGAAGCTATGAAGTATCATCTCTTACCTGAAAGAAGACCTTTGATGCAAAGCCCTCGGACAAAGCCTAGAAAATCAACTGTGGGGGCACTTTATGCTGTGGGAGGCATGGATGCTATGAAAGGTAACAAATAAATTAATTAATTTAGAAAGTATCATTCAAAAAAGCAGATATATCTACAACACCCTCCAAATTATGAGGGTAATAAAGTCACATTTAAATGTATGCATCTAAAGCTAATTTTCATAAGTAGGGTACTTTACTTAATTTTGTAACTTTTTTTCTTATCTTATGGGATAAAACCTTTTAATTAGTGTTGGCTAAATTCTTAATAGAAACTTTGATGGTAGAAAAATTGTTAATTTAAGTACTCACTTTGCAATATAAGACATTGTCAGGGAAAACTTGTTTACAGTGTACTATAAATTGGTCGAGTTACTCCAAATTTTTTTCTGAAAGAAATAGAAGATAGGTCCCTAACTCTTTGCTGTCAATTTCTTGTTATATGCTCAAAGATAAGTTAAAAAGAACCTTGATGTAATGATAGCAAGCTCAAAAATTCAAACCTGGAATAAAGGAATGGTTTTACATAAGAATTTTATCAAATAGAATAGGGAACAGTTTCTGAAGCCAACATATCTACCATGAACCCTTCTTAGAACCAATTTTTCTATAGTCCTACCTTTTTACACTTTATTTTTCAGTCTGTAGTATCCCCATGTTGCCAAAAACAATGAGGCAAGGGTTTTGTAATTAAGAATTGACTGTAGGGTTTGGCTCAGTGGATAGAGCTTTGGCCTGCAGACTGAAGGGTCCCAGGTTCGATTCTGGTCAAGGGCATGTATCTTGGTTGCGGGGACATCTTCAGTGCGGAGTGTACAGGAGACAGCTGATCGATGCTTCTCTCTCATTGATGTTTCTAACTCTCTATCCCTCTCCCTTTCTCTCTGTAAAAAAATCAATAAAATAAAAAAAAGAGTTGATTGTGTAGGAAATAAAACCAATCCACCTAAAATTTGTCAAATCACACATATAAACATTTTGATGCCTGTAGGAAATGATGCAAGAGTCAAAATTCTGTGTTATATATTCACACACACAACTGGAAATTGAAAGACTCTATAGGAAATACAACAGTTAATCATAAAACTATAAAACAAGAGCTTGCAATTATTTCCAAAGTAGTACAATATCTTCACAGAACTAATGTTCTTCAGAAAATAACAAATACAATGAGATCCTATATTTAATTTCAAGTCTGACAACTTGATATTTTATTGCATTTTGTTGAATATAATGAATAATAGCCACCTTTCAAAATGTGTCTTGTTTCATGTTTAAATTAAAAGGGCCCTAAATATAAAATACAAACATAATTATCCTTAGTTTCTGATAAAAAAAAAAAAAAACAAACTAACCTGCAAAGTGAGAAATGGAAAATTTAGGGTTTATTTGTATGTTTGTTTTTTGTTTATTTTCTATTTTTGTTACTTTTTCAAGCTCCTGTTTCAGTTAACATTTCATAAGTGAATGTGTTATAAAAATGGTAATAAATCAGACAGAGAATGAAAAATACTATATGGTTTCACTTACATGTGGAATCTAAAACAAATTAACAAACAAAGCAAAACAAAAACATACTCATAGAAACAGAGACCAAAAGGATTCTTACCAGAAAGGAGGGAGTGGGGTGATAGGTAAAGAAGGTGAAGGGGAAAATAGTCAATAATATTGTGATAAGTTTACAGGGTGACAGATGGTAACAAGAATTAGTGAATGCTCACACTTTAAGGTATAAAAATGTCAAATCACTATATTGTGCACCTGAAACTAATATAACAAATATAATATTATATACAAACTATACTGAAATTTAAAAAATAAATAGTAGTATCTATAATTCCTTCTTAGTTTCTAAAAATGAGTGAAATTGGCCCTGACCAGGTAGCTCAGTTGTTTAGAGCATCCTTCCTATACACCAAGCTTTCAGGTTCCATTCCAATCAGGGCACATAATAGAATCAATCAATAAGTGCATAAATAAGTGGAACAGAAAATAAATGTTTCTCTCCCTTCCTCTTTCGCTCTAAAATAAATTTTTAAAAGGCCAGTCTAAAAGGCCACATATTATGTTACTTTTCATATTGAATGTCCAAAATAAGGAAATACATTGAGACAGAAAATATATTAGTGGTTTCTTAGCTCTAATGGGCTGGGAGTTCATGGGGAAGTGATAGCTAAAAGATACAGGGTTTCTTTTCAAAGTGATGAAGTGCTCTAAATTGACTGTTGTAATTGTTGCACTTGTCTGTAAATATATTAAACACCATTTCCTTGCATGTTTTAAATAGGTGAATTATATGGTGTATGAATTCTATCTCAATAAAACTGTTTTTATAAGAATTATGGAGAGGCCCTGGCTGGGCAATTCAGTTGGTTAAGGGTCCCACCCCATTATGCCAAGGTTGTTAGTTCAATGAGGGCACATTCAAGAATCAGCCAATGAATGCATAAATAAGTGGAACAACAAATACATATTTCTCTCTCTCTCTCTCTCTCTCTCTCAACTCAATAAGCTAAAAAAAAAATTAAAAATGAGTGAAATGTATGCCTATAATCCCATGATTCCATTAACATGTTTTCATATGGATGGAAGTAAGGCCATCATTTTGAGATTCTCTGAGTACCTAGTGTATGGAGATATAGCAGGCTTTATGTATGGGAAGTTGCAGACAACTATAATTATAGTAAAAACTACTATTTTTGAGTACCTGATCCTTGATTAGGATTTTGTAAACATCATTTCTAATCCTCACAACAATGCTACAACATAGATTTTATTACCTAAATTTTGCAGATGATGAAACTAAGGCTCTTTAAGGTTAGACAGCCAACTCAAGGACAAATATTTAGGAATATTGGAAATGAAATTCTTACTCAAATTCTATGTACCTATTTGCCATACTGCCACTATTTTAGAAGAAAGAAGAATGACAACAACGAAATTGACCCCTCTCTTTGCAGGTCTTAGAATCTATTGGAAAACCAGGGTGAGCACTTAAGGGAAAAAATTAAAGAAAGAAAGAAAAATAAAGGGAAAAAAACACTAAGTATAGCAAAAAATTAAGGGGTAGCATTTATCTATGTAAATCAGCATTACATCTAGAAAATGTACCTGTTCACATTATTTCATGTAACTATAAAATAATTTTTATATTACGCTTTTTTTCTCTTACAATGTCGTGTTTCATTTATCTTTGTTTAAAGATACTTTTTGAACTTTCACCTTTTGATGTTTAGGAAATACAGTACTTCCTCAGTCTTTAATTTCCTCTCTGACTCCTACAATTGACTTAGAATTAGTTGTTAAAAATAGATATCACACAAGTGGCTCAGGTTAACTATAACTCCTACCATGTATATCAAAAGAATCATCAGAAAGTTGTATGAGCAGAGAATAAATATTTAAAAATTGTCAAATGGTAAACTTTGGGCTTTTGTACATATAAGGTATTCAGTAATATTTTGTTTATTAAAACAATGAATTCTGAGTGTATAACAGGGAACACATTAAAGTCTACTACAGTCATTTTTAGATTATTTTAAAAATAGATGGAGGAAATTACTACATGGGATATATTCACAACCACAGGAACTATCCTGTTCCCAACAATACTACAAAGTTTGATTGGTTTGTTCCCTCTTGAATGAATCATAATGAGGGTTGACTAGGAGCTTAGAAATGAAATGAGAAACAATACTTGTAATATTTTAGGGTAGAAGCTTAATTTACACAGAAAAATTATAAAGTGCTTCCTTAAAAGAGAGATCAATAAAAAAACTTAGTGCTCATACTAAATATAGACCTGCCATACTAAGCTAGCTAGAGGACTTACATTTTGATTAGTTGGAGCAATAGTGGAGGTAGGGAAATGGACTGAAGAAATCTTCAGAATTCAAAATACAAAATTACCAGTCACATATGTTTTCAAATGCAAATAAGAGATGTGGGATAAATATATCTGCTATATTTAAATGAATGCTGAAAAGATTACCCTGGCATATATCAGATTTTTCTATACCATTCAATTTAAATATTCTATGTACAGCTGATTAATGTAGCTTGTACAATGTCCTGACTAATTACTTCACTATTATAATCATATATATAATATTAACAATTAGTGTAGTCTTCATTTTATAATTTAAATTGGTTCTTTAGTAAATGCCAATGATGAAGTTTGAAATAAAAAGCTAAAATAGGAGGAAGAGGATAGGAAGACAGATTTAGGAAAATTAGAATGAGGAAGTAGAAAGATAAAAATATTCAGAGAAAATTGGTTGACAGAGTGAAAGTAGTTGTGAGTTTGTAGATATTCCCATGTTTACAGTATAATCCAAGGACATTTAGTGTAAAATGATAGCCTGCTAGGTGGTGTTGAGTTCTCAGCATTCTGTGTAGTCAATAGAGCAATTGCTGATCTGTAAATCAGCATTTAGCCAAATAATCTGTTTTCAGTAAAAGATGCAGGGATTAAAGTGAAAGACTAAATCAGTACCTGTATATTTATAAGCTTTTATTATAAAAATTAAAACTCTTGAGGTAGCCCAAGCTGGTTTGGCTCAGTGGATAGAGCACCAGCCTACAGACTGAAGTGTCCCAGGTTCGATTCCAATCAGCAATCAGAGGCACATGCCCGGGTTGTGGGCTCGATCCCCAGTAAGGAGCATGCAGGAGGCAGCTGATCAATCATCCTCTCTCATTGTTGATGTTTCTGTCTCTCTCTCTTTCTTCCTTCCTCTCTCTCTCTCTAAAAATCAATAAACATATCCTCAGGTGAGAATTAAACACACACACATACACACACACACACACACACACACACACACACAGGACACAGAACACACA